CAGGTGTCAAGTCTTGGCTCATAAATGGTATGAAGAGATGGGAGGAACATGGCCTAGAGGTAACTGGACATGAATCGGAAGAGACGAAAAAGGGCCTTGAGAATGAGCCACCACGCTGGGGCTGGGCAGTGGTGGCGCACGCCTTTAATCCCAGCACTCGGGAGCAGAGGCAGACAGACTCTGTGAGTTCCAGGACAGCCAGGATACACAGTGAAATTCTATCTCGAGGAACCAAAAGAAAGAAAGAAAAAAAACGGGAGTGAACTTCTATAATACAGGGGCTGAGGTAGATCTCTGGCCTGACAGGTACGAGGCCTCAGCAAAGTCTAGGAAATGACAAGAAACACATTATATATACGATTAGGACAGCTGATGGTGGTGGCACACACCCTTGATCCTGAGACTCTGGGATCTCGGCAGAGGAAGGTGGGTCTCTGTGGTTTGAGGCCGGCCTGGGAGGGAAGGTGGGAGAGGAGAAACCCTAAACCTCCATTGGTAGGGAGCTGCTAAACTCATCCAGCCACCATGCGGTTCCATGCTGTTGTAGTTACAGAAAGAGTGAAATCCCATCGTGTGCCATTGTAGACTTGGGGTGATCTCTGAGGTGTTTTCTGAGAGAATGAGAGATAGAAGAAGGCCTGGCCGAGCAAGGCCTTTGTACTTAGACTTATAACTACTTTTCCTAGGGAGAGGAGCTGGCTTCTACATTTTGAATTTTGTGCTTTGTGCATAATACTACCTGATAACAAATATTTGTAAGTAAGGAGTTTGATAGGAAAATGGGACTGCCAGGAGTGCTCAGCATTCTCAAGCACTCCTTCCTACAACTTGTGCAAGCTCATCATTTTAAAGATTTATTTACTTATTTTCATGTATGTGAGTGCTCTATCTGCATGTACAACTTTATGCCAGAAGAAGATTCCACTTATAAGATGGTTGTGAGCCACCATGTGGGTGCTGGGAATTGAACTCAGGACCTCTGGAAGAGCAGCCAGTGCTCTTAACTGCTGAGCCGAGAGAGTCTCTTCAGCTCCGCTTGTCATTTATTTTTATTTTTATTTTTGTTTACTTATGTGTGTGTGCCTGTGTGCACACATGATGTGTTGGGAAGGCATGTGTGCCAGGCACATGTAGAGGTCAGAAGACAACTGTGTTGATTCTCTCTCCCTTTTGTGGGCTCCAGGGATCCAGCTCAGGTCACAAGAGAGTAAGGACCTTTACTCTGTAAGGCGTCTAGCAGCCCAAGCTTACTCTTTTTTTTGTTTGTTTGTTTTTCAAGACAAGGTTTCTCTGTGGCTTTGGACCAGGTTGGCCTCAGACTCACAGAGATCCCCCTGCCTCTGCCTCCCTAGTGCTGGGATTAAAGGTGTGCGCCACCATGCCTATGTCTGAGCTCTCTTTTTAATTGGCACTTCTTTGGTCGAGAGCCTGTATTCTTCCATCTTCCTTGGTCCTAGACTCAGTTGAAGGTGTGTACATTTCTGTTCCTACCTCTCTAGTTGACCTGTGTCTCTAGGCGAAGCCCAGGCAATAGGTGGTGAAGGCAAGCCCCGGATCCTGCCCGTCGCATCAGACTCAATGAGAAAGATTAGAGATGGGCTCTGCAGTCCTATCTTTGAAGTGGCCAGCTTTCATCAGAATGTCTGAACTTCAGCATTATTTCAAGGGACCTTTTATTACTGTCGGTGACCTGGCCTCAGGTGGGTGCCCGCCACTGCCAGATGTGAGGAGAGACCACTCCCTGCTCTCTGAAGCTGAGGCCTTGACTTTGTTTTGTGGTCAAGAAGTTTTCAGAGCTGAGAGCACTTAGTCCTTGGAAGATTGCTGCAGAATAGTTTTTAAAGTATTTTTTTCTATGAAGAGGTGTAAATTGGATGGTATGCCTTTAATTAGAGGGGAGGAAAGTTATGTATGTTTTGTTTTTATTTTTTTGTCTCACAAATATTTGCATTGTTTCCCAAAGATGGGGGTATTGACTGCTTTCCCTGTGCTGAAGAGAAATGCTGTGTAAACAAAGCTAGAGGTGCTGGCCATCTATAAGACTGTAATTTACAGGCTTCATCCAGGGGAAGACTTTGATGCCTTTAAGAGATACAAACCATCCTGGACTAGCTGTCCTGGTATGCAGTACCATAGTTTTTAGTTAAGAGTTGTTTCTTTAGAAAGGCAGGATTCTTTCAAGTGGTGGTCACAGGGGCAGGAAGTTCTTGGGATCTGTGTGTCTGCATTGATGTCACTTGACAGGTTCACCAGGGACACATCCCAACAGCCGGCTTTTCCCATTTTCGTTTGTCTGACCGACTATCTCAGCGCCATCACCATGTGAATTTCCTACCCAGCGATGGAGTTGAATGTGTGAATGAAGAGGAGGTGCCCAATAAATGTTCCCCAAATAGATGCGTTTTGATATTTGAGATAGACTTTAATGCTTTTGGCTTTTGATCATAACAAGGGCTGGAGACATCCAGCCGCCTCCCTAGCTCCTGGGGTTTTCCTGGTACTTGGATAATTAAGTCTGTGCCGTATGGAGTTAAGCCCCCTCGGGCTCCAGGACACTGGTTTGAATGAGCCTCACTTTTAGCGTGGTGCTCTAAACACTCCCTGTCCATCCTCTGCTCCATCCTCATCTGGGGAAACTTCTCCCTAGTGTGGCAGTGTTCTGCTTCTCTTACAGAGCGTGTGGGGAATTTTGCTGCCAACCCCTGCTTTGGAGGCTTCCCAAAGAAAAAAGAACAACAACAACCAAAACCAAAAACACCTCAATTGTAAAAATTCTTTGCCCCCAAATCTCAGCACAGAAGCTGCACTCTAATCTGGTCTTAAACTGGTTGTGTAGCCCAGGCTGGCCATAAGATCCTCTTATCTCTGCCTCTCAAGTGTTAGGATTCTAGAACATACACACAAACACACACATCCCCATGCAAGATAGACTATTGCTATGTTGCCCAGGCTAGCCTCTAATAGTGATCCATCTTCCTGCCTCCCTCTCCTGAGACGCTGGATTACAGTAAACCTAGCTAGAAACTGGTTGTTCCTTCCTTTTGAATTTACTGTCCTCTGGGGTGACCGCTGCTCTTTCTTCAAACAAGGGCCAAGATAAAAGGGGCTTTGCTTCGGACCCCTCGGTTCCTCGGTTCCACCCCTCAGCTCTCACAGAAGGCCTGCACAGAGAGGCTGTGTCCTCAGAATTTGGAGACTTCACTGGGGGATTGTGTGGCTCTGTTTTGAAGGTTAACCCTGTCTGCACTGGCTAAGACCTTCTGGAGCATTCTAATTCCATTTGTCTGGATGTCACTTCTTAGTCCTTGAAAAGACTCAAATATAGTTTTAAGATGTTTCTGTCCAGTACTTTTATTCTTATTTATTTTTGGTTTTTCAAGATAGGGTCTCTCAGTAACTGTGGTCTTGAACTCTCAGAGATCCGCCTGCCTCTGCCTCCTGAGTGCTGGGATTAAAGGCAAGTGCCATCACTTCCCGGACAGTATTATTTATTTATTTTTATTCCAACTCCTTCATGTGTTTGAGGAATGAAAAGTTTGGACCTTGGAGCTCGCATTCCCTCCCCTTCTCAAAATACCATTAGCTTCGCTTGTAATTCCACAGGTGACTGAAATAGAAGGAGCACCAGGATTCCCAAGAGTTCAAGTCTGTACAGCAGGCCAGTGTGGAACCATAGGGTGAGACCCTGTCTCAATATTAGTGAGAGAGCCAGGGGGATGCTTCAATTGGGAAAACGCTCGCTTGCCTCACAAAATTGGGATTGAAGGCGTGGGCCACCGCCACCCAGCATGACTTTTTTTCTTACTACAAAGAGATTTATTGCAGAAAAATCAGGATTATAAATGGGCAAAAAGTATAAATTATTAATATTTTAAAATGAGAATACATATATACCCCCTTCAGCATGTTGTGTTTTTATTTCAGAATAAGTGACTTGTGCTGTTTGTACCATCTTGTTACTTAATTAACAATGTTAAATTAATTTTTTAATCAGAATCCTCTTTGGGTTAAACCTTCTTCTTCGAATCACTATAAAGGATATCTAGCATTCTTTTGAGCCTGTGAATGGGCTTTTTAGTCAGAGGTGGCATCGGTTGTCTTTCTCACTTGCTTTCTGCCTTATTTTTTGAGACAGGGTCTGTTACTCAGCCTGAAGCTGACCAATTGGCTTTGCTTGGCTAAGCCCTAGGGATCCCCCTGTCTCCAACCGCCCAGTGCTGGGGTAGCTGCAGCTTACCTCCAGGCCTGGCTTTGTACCTGAGTGCCAGAATCAAACTCAAATCTTTTTTTTTTTTTTTTTTTTTTTGGTTTTTTTCGAGACAGGGTTTCTCTGTGGCTTTGGAGGCTGTGCTGGAACTCACTCTGTAGACCAGGCTGGCCTCGAACTCACAGAGATCCCCCTGCCTCTGCCTCCCGAGTCAAACTCAAATCTTAATGTCTGCACAGCCAGCGGTTTACCAAGTAAAGCATCGCCCAACCTGAGGAGTGGGATTTATTTGTCGCAGTCTTCTGCAGTTAGATTATGTTCTTTGTTTTCATTGTTTTGGTTTTTGGAGACAGGGTCTCACCCTGTACCCAGGCTAGTCTGGAACTCTCTGTAGCCCAGGCTGGCCTCAGACTCTTAGCAATCCTCCTGCCTCAGCGTGGTGGTTTGCGAGAAAATGGCCCCCCGGGGGGAGTGGTACTATTAGGACATGTGGGTTTGTTGGAGTGGGTGTGGCCTTGTTGGAGGTGTCACTCTGGGGGCGGGCTTCGATGTCTCCTATGCTCAAGATACTGCTCAGTGAACCGCCAGGTGTGTCAGTCCACTTCCTGTTGCTTTTCCATCAAGATGTAGCCTGCACCGTGTCTGCCTGTGTGCCGCCGTGCTGATAATGGACTGAACACCTGAAACTGAGCTGCCACCTCAATTAAATGTTTTCCTTCATAAGGAAAGGTGGTTATGGCATCTCTTCACAACAATGAAAACCCTAACTAAGGCAGGGGCGGTGGTGGTGCACGCCATTAATCCCAGCACTCAGGCCCAGAGGTAGGCAGATCTCTGTTAGTTCAAGGCCAGCCTGGTCTACAGAGCGAGTTCAGGGCACCAGAAGCTACACACAGAGAAAAACAACTAAGACAGCCTGTATTCTCTCCTCAAGGACAGAGTTAGGTGGTTAAATCGCCTTGCAGAAATAAATGCCCATTGCGTTTTGGATTATTTTCACTGGACACCAACTTTTGTTTTCACACTGTTGTCTGTTTGTTTGGTTTTGGTTTTGGGGGGATTATAAGTTTTAAGACTTCTCTTTCCAAGTCTTTCCCACATACATAGCTAAGAAGCCTTGGAGATGCTAGCTTCGTTGGCCTGGGAAAGAAAATTCTATCTTGGTGCCTCTGTTTTGCTCCATGAACTCCAGGTCTGGGTTCAGAGGCCCTGGCTTGCCCTTTCTAACCTCAAGCAATAGTCAGTCTGTGGTTCCCTGGGAAACCTCCTAGAGCTTAGGGCAGAAGGGAGACTGTCAGGGAACTGAGGCCTGTCTCTCTGGTAGGAAGATAGCCCTAAAACAAACATCCTGTCCAAAAGCTAGAGACCCCTGTGGGAAAATGCTGAGGCTGGCCCTGCTGGGCCTCGCTGGGGTGGAGGGAGCTCACGGTATCCTGTGTCTGCCTCTGCCCAGACTTGGGCCTCCCACACCCTAATCCTCCCATCACCATCATCTGGTAAGCGAACAGAGGGAAGTTAGACGGCCTTTCTTGAGGAAGTAGCTTTTGTGTGGGCTAAATTGGGCCTTCCTGTTCCTTGTCCTGCCAGGCTCTTCCTCTTCCTCCTTCTCCCCCACATGGTACGTTCGTCGTGGAAGTTGGTGTGTGTGTGGCGGGGGTGGGGGTGTTCTTGGGCCTTCTCTCCTTAGCTCCTTTCTTACCCTCTCTTGCTGACATTGAGGCCTGTGTTTGCCCATGTCCACACATCACAATACTCCCCCACCCCCTGGACCCTCCTGTCCTGACAGGACTGGTCCAGCTGAGACCCAGCCCAGCCTGCTGTCTTCTCTCAAGCCTCCCTGGAAAGGCCATAGGCTTGGGGAGGCCCAAACTGCCTTGCCCCAAGAGGCCCAATATGCCAGCTGCCACTGCCCAAATGGGTAACAAAAAACAAAAGCACACAGCCCCAGCCCCTGTTTCAGTTTATATGAACCTGACGACTGAAGCTGGAAATGGGAGGCGCAGGTTGGGAGAGGGAGCCTGGATGCTTCCCCTGGGGTGGGCTTTGTTTAAATTTTAATATGCTCTTCTTTCTCTGCAAGCACCAGCCAGGCTCCCAGCTCCTTTGTCACTTGTCCCTGCTATCTTTCTGGTGGCTGAGATCCCTTATCTGCCCTGTCCTCCCTGTCTTCCTGGTGCATCCCCGTCCCCACGCTGTCCCTCCCCCGTTTGTGGCGGACCGTGATGGATTGATTCCCTTCCGCAACCTCAGGTTCACATGGAAGTTCTTGTCACTGTGCTCTTTAGCCAGCTAAGATTTGGGAGAAATGAACTACTTCCAATGGTGCTGGACCCGCCAAAGGTACAAGCTTTAGGCCACTTGGGTATCCTCTGAGAGGGGCCCTGGCCCACTCTTAGGACTGGGGAGCCATGGGTCCGAGGGTGAGGGTCTCCGCTGTGGGTAGCTTGAGATGGAGTCAGTGTGATCTAACTTCTAACTTGGCACCATCTATCTCATCTCATCTTTGCACGTTCGTCACTTGCTGTGTCCTTTGTAGACTGAAACTATTAAGTGGAAATACAGACTGCTTTTACCCAGGTAGACCCTGATCCGATAGACCCTGTAGACCTGAGCTCAGAGGGAAAGAGAGGACCCACAGCTGAGTCACAGGGCTCAAGATCTGAACAGTTATGTCTTTCAGTCTTGGCTCACCATCCCCCAAGCCTTAGTTTCACAGCCTGTGGATTGGACACACAGGCATCTGCTCGGGGCTGTCATTCTCTCCTGTGAATCTCAGGGCTGTGAAGTCGGGGGTCTATGTGCCACCCTGAATCTTCTGGCCTCTTAAAAATTTCCCTTGTCATCTCCCATTTCTTCATTCCATCAGCAATTTTTACCATGTACCTTCTTCCATTAGCCCAAACTCTGTGCTACACAGGTGAATGTCATTGTCTCTGCCCCTCATCTGCAACTGATACTGGATATTGGATTTACACACAAGAGTTTGTGAAGCCGCTTGCAGTTTTGTTTTGTTTTCTGGTGTGGCTTTTTGTTGTTGTTTTGTATTTGGTTTTTTTTTGGGGGGGGGTATCGGTGTTTCAGTGTAGTCCAGACTGGCTTTGGCCTTTAGGAACCATCCTGCCTCAGCCTCTCAAACATTGCGATTACAGCCACCACACCTGGGGCTCTCATGTGCTGGAAGTTCTCACTTTCGCTGAGCTTCTTCCCCAGCTGGGAAATTGGCTCTCTGAATGGCCTAGGGGTGGGGAAGGGTGGGGTCAGAGGTTATGGGGATGGTGTCTCATGGGCAAAAGACCTGCGAAGCCCAACCCCTGGACAGGTGAGGCGATGGTTGGGAGGTAGAGTGTGGGGTAGGAGATGGTTGGTACAGGAGCGCAAACTGAGGCTGCGTCAGAAGTGCAGATGTCCTTCCAGGGGCTTGTCATTGCCACCAGTGAGTTCTGAGCAGGGAACCAGTGTGGGAGATCGTTCTGGCCTTGGCCTGATCATGACCAGGCTTGACCATGTCTGTGTATGTGTGGAAATCCTCTTGGGAATGTTGGCCTGAGAGTTGAGGACCCCTGGTGGGAATACATATGGTTCTTTTACTTGAATTCTTTGTCGTTATCTCTTAGAATTCCCTCCTGATGTTAGCAGATAATTCACAGAAGTATGCTCTCTGTACTTGGCTGTGTTTCTTAAAGCTTGTTGAGAAATTACCAAAACTAAAATTTTTCCACTGGGGCGTGTTCTGCATACCTGATTCTGCGTTTGAGAATGTAGCAAGAACTTTTGAAATGTGGCATGAGCTTGAGCTGGGCTTACACAGCAAGGGGAGGAGGGGAGCCAGTTTGAGCACTCACCTGTGTGCCAGTGTGTGTGTGTGTGTGTGTGTGAGAGAGAGAGAGAGACAGAGACAGAGAGACAGAGAGAGAGAGAGAGAGAGAGAGAGAGAGAGAGAGAGAGAGAGAGAGAGAGAGAGAGAGAGAGAGAGCGCGAGCGAGCCCCTCCTGCTGGAGGTCAAAGGACAGCTTGCAGGAGCCTGTCTGTCCTTCCACTTCTACCCTTGCCATATTTGGTTGACCCTCTTAATCTCAGTCCATTTCCTACAAAAAGGAACAGGAGTACATTCCCTGATGTTTCTTCTGACTCCACTGGCCTAAACTGTCCACCATATCGTATGGGGTCTGACCACCGCACTGGGGGCGGGGCTTAGTCAGCACTGATTAAAATGACTGGTTATCCTGCCCCCATCCTTAGTTACACCTCTTGGCCTCAACACAGGACTCAGGGCAGAGAGACTGCAGAGTAGGGACAGGAAGTGGATCTCAGTGGAGGAAGGACTCCAGGAGATTGCAGGAAGTGTGGTGAGGAGGGAGGCCAGGTGTCTGGCAGGACTGTGGAGCTGGGGGGCTCATTGGTCACCCAGTGTAAATGATGGGTCACCCAGGAGCAGCCAGGGCCCACCGTTCTCCCCTACTGGGCCTTCCATAGGCGGTCTCCCCCTCTTTCTGGGCACAGTGATAGAGCTAGCTCTAGACCTACCTAGGGTTTTTGCACACTCTCTCCAGAACTGCTGTCATTACAACATCAGCATCCATTCTCTCTTCCAGAGCCAGGGTGATGGTAGGCACCTCACAAGCCACTATCCTCAGGTGTTCCAAATCCAGTTATTTTTGGTGGCTTCCTTAAGTCTGGTTTCGGGGAGGAGGGTTGCTGAAACCCTGTGTCACCAACAGTGTTGTGTCTGTCACCAACACCGGGAGAAAAGAAAGAAAACCATATTAGTCAGCTTTATGGCTCTGAAAGGAACTTGATAAACATGAAAATGTTAACATCACAACTTTCTCATAGTCTCCTAAACTAGACGTTCTGAGCACTGTGTAGTCCTGCAAGCCCTCCTGTGTTTTCAGCACATACCATAGGCACATCGAACTTTGCCTCCCTCTCGTTACTTTTGACACAGCATTATGGCAAGCGAAAAGTTTCCAAGCACTTGGGGTTTGCGAGTGAGCATATGCTCCGCAGACATGCTGTCAGCTCCCTTACCCAACTGCAAGAACTCTCATTCTACCCAAAACAGAAACAGTGCCAGTCCAGGGGGCCTTTGATCACTATGCAGTAAACCAAGCCAAAACACTGCAAATTCAAACACGCTACAGCCCAAATCCAGCTACTCAACAAGATTGCAAAGCATGCTTCTGAGGTGTCACTGTGTCCAGGAAGAAATAACGAATATACTGACTAATATTTAGAAAATAAAACCAGAATACTACATAACGAAACCTATGGAAGACAGTTAGTTCTAGTCTCATAGCATCGGATGCCTTTATTATGAAAAGGACAAAGAGAGAAGAAAGAAAGTAAACCAAGCATTCCACTTGAGATCTTGGAGGGATGGGTGTATTCAAAGAGCCCCCAAGGAAAGTGAGAGGAAAAACCAGCAAAAGACAAAGGCAGAAATAAATGAGTTACAAAACCAAAACCCTGAAATTAACATATGTGTCTAAGAGCCAATTCTGTGTTTAAACAAAGTAGACTAACCTGGCAGGTTTATTTGAGAATGAAAGGGAAAAAGAAAACAATAATAGGACCATAAAAGGGGGGACATTTCAATGGATCTAGAGATTTTTAAGTGGAAAACTTACGCATAGCAATAGGCTTATGTTTGAAAACCTCAATTAAATGCTCGATCCTCTGAAAATGTGTATGTTGCTAATGGAGGAAAAAAAAAATCACGATTCCTATCAGGCTGCCTCCCCCACCCGAAGACACCAGTCCCCGGTGCTTTTGCTGGTTAATTTCAAATTTGATGGTGCTGATAGTGTCATGCTCGCTATTCTGTGGCTTTAGCAAAAGATAAGAGTCTCTAGTTCATTCTACAGAGCAAAATAAGACTGATATTAAATGTGGCAAAGACCAGATTGAAGAATGAAAACACTAGGTAGGAAATAGAATTCAATAACATATTAAGCAAGTCATCCTCCACAACCCAGTGGGGCAAGAGGGAAGGAGTCAGTATTAGGAGAGCTTAATATAGTAACTATGGTATGCTAATGAGTTAAAGCAGCAAGACCACATTAAGTCCAGTATGTGCTGGGGAGAGAATTGACTGCGTTTCTACCTAATCAATACGCCAAAAGAGGCACAGAGGTGTGGGTGCCTTTTTTAGCATGATTCAGAGTACCTGTTAAGCTACTAGTGACCAGCAACAGATAGTCACCAGTGTTGAAATCAGCCAACTAGGTAGGCCAAGAGACCTTTGTCACCATCGCTTCAATCCAGTCAACTCAGTAATCCTGAAGCAAATAACAGAAAGAAGGAGTGAAAGTGACAGTTAACCCAGTTTAGCCGATATCACAGCTCAGGCTGGTTGATTTATAAAGTTCAGAACTTGTAAAAATAAGTCATCGGAGAAGTCAAGTGCCTGGAGGGGGGGGGGGTCTTGCTCAGTGGGAGAGCTCCGGCTTAACTGCATGAGGCCCTAGGTTCCATCCCCAAGGCCATAAGACTAAAAACAAACAGATTTGGCTCTGAAAATTTCGCAACATTTATATGCAGTTAAAAAATGACAAAAGATTTTATCCTAAACACATATTGTAAATAGGTTAATGCTTTACCAAAGAGCCTATGTTCATTTGTGTTTGTTGTTGGTGAATGTCGGTTTTTTTTCTTTTGTTGTGGTTGTTTTTTGTTTAGTTTGTTTTGTGAAAGGAAACCAGAGTAGTTTGAGACCCTTCTGTCTACATTGTTGCCATTACAGAGTATACCTTCACTGGCAGCTTAGATTTGTTTTGTATAATAGATTAAGGTTAGTCAGACATGATGGCCAAAGACTATAACCCTAGCATCTCAGGAAGTTGAAGCAGGATGATAGCCACAAATCTGAGGCTATCTGGCTATAGAGTAAAACCTTAACTGAATAAATAAGTGGACAAATAAGAAGTTTTCGGGGTTTTTTTTTTTTTTTCGAGACAGGGTTTCTCTGTGGCTTTGGAGGCTGTCCTGGAACTCGCTTGGTAGTCCAGGCTGGTCTCGAACTCACAGAGATCCGCCTGCCTCTGCCTCCCAAGTGCTGGGATTAAAGATGTGTGCCACCAACGCCTGGCTTTGTTTTTTTTGAAACAGTTTCTTTATGTTGCCCTGGCTGTCTTGGAACTCACTTTGTAGACTAGGCTGGCCTCGAACTCACAGGGATCCATTTGCCTCTGCCTCTCAAGTGCTGGGATTAAAAGCAGTGCTGGCGGGGGGCTGGAGAGATGGCTCAGAGGTTAAGAGCACTGACTGCTCTTCCAGAGGTCCTGAGTTCAATTCCTGGTGCCCTCTTCTGGTGTGCAGACATACATGAGGCAAGATGTTGTATTCATAATAAATAAATCTTAAAAAAAAAAAAAAAAGCAGTGCTGGGATTTAAGGCATGTACCACCACCACCCAGCTAAACTGTTATATAGAGAAACCTTGTTCTGGAAAACTCAAACAAATAAGTAAGATGAAGACAAACTTAAACAATATGAATAGGCCTCATGATTATCATGTAAGTACCTGGCACAAAGAAATTGCCAAGTAGCAATCTTGATGAACACAGGGACCAAGTCAGTTCAGTATGTGACAGACACTACATTGAGTTAATAATTTTGGGTAAGTTAACGAATACAGTGAACTCGTTTATCTGGTGTGGGTGTGCCTGCATTTGCAGGCGTGCCCAAGAGTGTGCACATGCACATTTGTCATGTGTGTGTGCACTGTGGAGTCGGGACAACCTGCAGTATTGATCTTTGCCTCCCATCCGGGCAGTTTCCAAGGACTCTCTCCTCCTCCCCCCATCTCACCATAAGAATGCTGGTGTTGGGCTGGAGAGATGACTCAGAGGTTAAGAACACTGGTTGCTCTTCCAGACATTCTGAGTTCAATTCCCAGCACCCACATGGTGGCTCACAACCATCTATAATGAGAGCTGGTGCCTTCTACTGGCGTGCAGGCAGAACACTGTATACATAATAAATAATAAATCTTTAAAAAAGAAATAAAAGAATGCTGGTGTTACAGATGTCTGCCACATCTGGCTTTATTATGGCTTCTAGGGATCTGAACCCAGGTCCTCATGTTTTCTTGGCAAGCACTCTTATCCAGGGGGCCATCTCTCTAGCCCTACAACACATGCTTTTAATTAAAGTACCATGTTAGTTTTACTTCAAGTTAGAAAGGGTATGCAGGGTTTGGTTTTGTTTTTGTAGAGAAGGGCTTGTTTACTTGTTTTGTAGAACTAGGAATCAAACCCTTAGCTTCCTGCATGCCAGGCAAGCAGCTATACTGCTAAGCAGTATCCTCAGCCCTAGGAAGGCTCCCTCCCACCAAGGTTTTATTGTGAAGATGTTTCAAATGCTTTGAAAAGTTGAAATGTTTTTACTGTAAACGTCTGCACACGATGGTCTCGATAGGGCAGATGCTAGTATTTGCCATGTTGGCTCCATCTGCTGGTTTGGAACTTGCTGCTTGGACCAGGTTGGCCTCCAACTCCCAGAGTTCCGCCTGCCTCTGCCTCTGGAGTACTGGGAGATTAGTGGCATGTGCCCGCTCATGCGTGGCGGGGACTAGAAGCAGCTGGTCGTTGCATCCATGGCGCAGAGCGGAAAGCAGTGCGCCAGCGGATGCATTGTTGTTCAGTGTTCTGTCTCCTTCCCGTTCAGTTCCGGGCCAGCATATGCAGTGGTGGTGCCATACTCAGTTAATAACATCCCTCACTGGCAGACCCACAGGCCAACCTAGTCTAGACAATCCCTCATTGAGACTCTCTTCCCCGGAGGTACTCCATTGTGTTAAGTTGCCAATTAAAACCAACATCAGTGGGACATTCTGCGCAGGTGACCAGAGTCAGAGAGGTTAAGTAACTTGCTTAAATTCACACAGTGTGGTTTTTCAACCTGGACCCGCTGACTCCATCAAATTATATAACATACCCCTTTTCCTCTTCATCTTTCCTTTCCCGAGTGCATGAAAGTGGTCACTTGGGCGGCTGGACAAGTTGGAAGCGGTCTGAATGAGGTGGGCAGGCATGTGGTGAACAGTCCATAGCTATGGCTGAGTGACTGATTATAAGCATGTAATGAGGCTTCCACCGATGGAAAAATAACCAGGGCAATGGATTGTCCAGACCTCCATCAGCGCCCTGAAAAACACATTCAGGGAGAAAGAACATGAGTGGCAGGTTAGGGTGCGAAGGAATATTGATTGGGTTTCTTTCCAAACTCTTTGTAGTGGGCACTTACGCTAGATCATATAGGAAAGCCACTCACACCCACTTTACAGTTCTGTGAGGTCATGGTGAGGAGGCTCTGCTCTGTTCCTTGCTGTTGTTTTATCTTCCAGTGTCCAGCCGCATGCGCCTGGCACATTGTGGATGTAATTAATGTGAGTGTTGGATGGGCGCCCACTGGGAAACTTCGCAAGAAGAGTCTGGCCCAGGAACGTGTTTGTAGAGAGCTTCCTCAGCTGGGCTCTCGGGGAGCCAGCACATCCCTGGGGTGTATTACAGGGTCAGCTCTCCTGGCCCAACTGAAAGATCTAGGGAGGTGTCTGGGTTATTCGGTGTGAAGCTGGGGTGTGGCTCGGGGTGGTAGCATTCAGGAGAGCCTGGGATTGACCCTCAGTGCTGGAAGGGGTGAGGGGTGGGTAGGAAGGAAGGCTGGCCAGGAATCACTGTGCGAGCTCAAACTCCAGCTAGATTCTATTTTTGTGGGGGGGGGGGTGGCAGGACAGGATTTTTTTTTTTCCGGTGTAACAGACTGCCCTGGAACTCACTTTGTAGACCAGGCTTCACAGCTATAAGGATTAGCAATTGCTACCCTCTCCATTTTGATGCCGAGATGAGAGAGAGGGAAGAGGTTTTCCTAGGAGTGCTCCACAGATCACAGGCCTTCTGCACTGTCTTCACAGCAGCTGGCATTAGCGCTACTCACCATGGGCTGAGCTCCAGTTGCAGCTGCACGCAGCCTCCTATTGCATAGTAAAGCCAAAGGGAGCCAGACCGGGGGGGGGCCGCCGGCGGGAGGCAGCAGTGGTAACCAGGAGGCCTGCTTTCCAACAGGAGGGAAGGTCGCACCGCCCACAGGCTAGGAGTGCACCCCTGTAAGTGCTACAGAGTGCCTCCTTTTAGCTTTGCAAAAGAAAAAAAATTGCTGAGTGGGGGCTGGAGAGGTGACTGGCTGCTCTTCCAAGGAACTTGGGCTCAATTCCCAACACCCACAATCACCTGTAACTCCAGTCCCTGGGGGTCCAACGCCCTCTTCTGGCAGATGGATCTCTGTGAGTTCTAAGCTAACCCCAGTTACATAGTGAGACTCTGTAAATAAATAAATAAGATAAAATTGCTGAATGGATTGCTTTATAACAAATGAATATCAAAAAAAGCTACCATCATTTAAATTGATGGCTTGGACTTACCTCATGAGGTGTGGACCTGACAGTTGGTAGTGGTGGCTTCATTCATTGTTATAATGATGGTCATAGATACAATAATACAACACATGGGTTGGACTGAATGATGAACAGAAAAGCCATGGGAGCATATCAGGGCTCTAGAGATCGGGATGCATGGGGGACCCCCCCCCACTAATCCAGAACCTGTGTTTAAACAGTTCCGAGCGACTCCTTGAGTATCTGAGAAGCAGTGCTCCTGTCCATCCATCTGATCTCTGAAGGGATCAGAAAACCAGATAGTGACTCATTCCTGAGGACACCCAGAAAGTTTCAGAAAATAGCTCTGGCCATTCAGCACCACGGTTTTATCTGCACTTGGCCCAGGAGAATAAACCCATTTGGTTTCTTTGAGTTTCTTCACTTTGGGTATGCAAAGCTACTGGTTGTCCCATCACTCTTGGTTTTTAGGCAGTGGGGAATCTTCATTCCTGTTAGGGGTTAGATGGCTATAAAAAGACCATTGCCTGGACCTAGTCCCAGAGCCACTAAAGCACACCAGTGAGTCCTCAATGCTCCAGTTGCTGTGGCCACCCATGAGCTGTTAGGGCAGCTTTTCCTGCCCAGGTGGGACCGGCAGTTGCCTGGTTATCTGGAGAAGCCCACTGGAACTATGGACCTGGTTAGCTACATGTTTTAACTGTACATGGAGCTCAACTGAACTTTCATTTGCCTCACGCCTTTGCTCCATGGGGCTCTGCAGGCCACATATAGTTAGATATAAATTCCAAGAATATTTATGAAAGTTAAGTGTATTTTTTTCTTTTGGTGTTTTGAAACAGTGTCTGACTATTGCCTTGGCATGTAAAATTTGATATGTAGACTAGCCTGGCCTTGAATTCAGAGATCTGCCTGCCTCTGCCTGCTTGCTTCCTGAGTTCTGGGAATGGTATTAAAGGCATGTGTCACCACACTTGGCTATTTTTCTTTCTCTCATTTTTTTTTAAGAAAGATTCTTTTTTGTTGTTCTTTTGGGGGGGGATTTATTTATTATGTGTACAGTGTTCTGCCTGCATGTATGCCTATACACACCAGAAGAGGGCATCAGATCACATTATGAATGATTGTGAGTGACCATGTGGTTGCTGGGAATTGAATTCAGGACCTCTGGAAGAGAAGCCAGTGCTCTTAACCTCTGAGCCATCTCTCCAGCCCTTATTTTCTATTTTTAAGAGCAAGAAGATGACTTTGGAAAATTAAACACCTCCCATCCAAGACTGATAAAAAAATGTGTGTTTGAAATATTAAGAAATGGAGCTGGACGGCCGGGCGGTGGTGGTGCCCGCCTTTAATCCCAGCACTCAGGAGGCAGAGGCAGGCGGATCTCTGTGAGTTTGAGGCCGGGCTGGACCGACAGCCTCCAAAACAATACAGAGAAAACCCTGTCTCGTAAAACCAAAAAAGAAAAGAAAAGAAAGAAATGGAGCTGGAGGGATGGCTCAGTAGCTAAGAACACTTCTTGCTCTTCCAGAGGATCTGGAAGATTCCTAGCACCCATAGGCAGCTTACAACTGTAATTCCAGTTCCAGAGGATCTGATGCCCTGTTCTGGCCTCTGCAGGCATTAAACACATATGCGGTGCACAGACATAAATTCAGGCCAAACACTCATATCCATAAAGCAAAAATTAAAAAAATATATATTAAGAAAAGGAAAATGTCTGATCTCAGTTGGTAGATTGTTTGCCTAGCATGCAGGAAGCATGGGGTCCCATCCTTAGCACTGTTTAAACTGGGTGTGGACACCACTGACTTCGTGTGACAATCCTCAGGACCAATGAATGACTGGCCACCAGTGCCAGGTCTACAAAGATAAACAGAACTAACCCTTTACTGCAGAGAGCCTGAGAAACAGCAAACAGCGGTGTGTGTGCAGGGTGCAGTTAGGGGGAAGAAGTGGAGAGCAGCCGAGGAGCCGAGGAGGAAGCCAGCAGCCTTCTCTCCGGCCAGCTCTGCTTGGGACTCCCAGCAGCCCCCTCACGGGGCAGCCCCCAGCCCTCCCTCGCGCCCCTTGAGCTCTTCTGCCTGGTCCCATTGAGACTGACTCTTTGAACACTGAGGCAACCCATGGGTGGAGTAAGAAAGTCTGAGGTAGCCTTTGGAGCCCTGCTGTGTGACGGGTCCTGCCCGGTGCCTTTGAGTTTAGGGTGAGAATGTCACTCACAGAGGGGTTCTCGTGAGAAGTGTTTATGAAGTGGTACATGAACTAGGCTTGGGGTTCAGCAGAGGGAGAGTTCCTTGTGTTTATAAGTCATCTGAAAGCTGGGCATTGCTGGAAGTGGGCAGCACCGTCCTGCTCCCAAGTTCTTGTGTGTGTTCCCTGCAGCGGTTGTGGCCTTGGTGGCAGCCGGGATTGGTAGTTTCCTGATGATTAACTCAGTTCCTGGGGGGAGGGGGAGCTGGGCACTAGGCCCCTCTAAGCTGGGCTCCTCCCTAGCCTCTGCCTCATCAGGTTTGGAATTTATTCTCCTCCCTCCTTCTCGGGGTCCTCTACCCAGGCCCCTTCCACCTTGGGCTGGTGACGGCCTGGCAGGCCTCCTGAGCCTGTTCTGTTCTGTTCACCTGGGCTGCAGCTGCTCCAGGTTTTGCTTGCAGGTGTTTCCTTCACACTCCTGGTCTCTGCCAAATCATCCCCCGATCAACCTAAGAGATTTGGGTCATTTGAGTAGCGGCAAGCCCTCAGAAACAGGTGCTCTCAGTATGCTTCCTGTGTGCGGGGACCGGCCAGGCTCACAGATGAACCAGCCCAGATCCTCTGCTGGGGGGTGAAGCCCTGTGTTTCTTAATACCTGGTGGCTGAGTCAACAGCACAGGCACTGGTGTTTGCATAGCAAACACCTAGCAGCAGCCCGGCCCCGCCCACAGCCACCCTCTTCCTGCCCGGCTTGCAGAAATGTCCTCTGGAAAGGTCAAGCAGGACTGGCTACATACTTTTCAGGGCCAGGTAGCAAATAAAAACACACGGGCCCTGTGTTTGAAAATGAGTAAGAATTTTAGGAAGAATTTCAGGACAGCCTTGCAGAACATGAGATGGGAAGCAGGCCCTTACAGTGTGGGCCCCAGGTGGTGGCACACACAGCCCAAAGGCCAGCCACCCAGCTGGGCCCCTGAACAGCTCTGTTCAAGATACTTCCATAGCCCCCCCCTTTCCTCTCTGCCTTGGTGTTTTGCCATGGGTGTTGGGTCCCTGGAACTGGAATTTTAGACATGTGAGCAGCCGTATGGGTGCTGGGAATTGAACCCTGGTACTTTGGAAGAGCAGTCAGTGCTCTTAAATGCTGAGCCATTTCCCTTTCTAAAGGAAAAGAACTCCAACTTCTCCTTCCTCTTTTCTTTCTTTCCCCCTTTCTCTGCAGTTTGAGGCGCCTCCTCCCTCCTGCAGCTTCCTCTCCTGGCCTCTGCTTCTTCTCCTCCCCCCCCCCCCGCCACCCCCTCCGCCATTTCATTCTTCCTCTTTCCATTACTTTATCTAGGGGAAAACCCTTGACGGATTGATGTGTAGCACGTCCCAGCCATTCTTCTGGTACCATTCGATTTTAAGGTTCTTTTCAGCGATACCTGGCTCCTTAGGTTTCCCGAGCCTCTCTGAAGTGGCTGGAGTGAATGTCTCCCTCACCAAGGGGAGTCCCTTCAGTGGCCTCTAGCTCTGTCCAGATGGTCTCTGCCTGTTGGGAGCCTGGGGTGAATTCTCATTGTTAGCACTCACTCACTCAGTCACCACCTCCTGCCCACATCCAGCTGTCAACCCTACTGGCCACAGTGGAAAAAGTCTGTTCCATTCCCTGGTGACACTCTGTGAGCCTGGTGACAGAGCAGACCTGGCCATCATTCTTATCCCCAGCTTTCTTTGAAGGTTCAGTAGATAAGCTGGGATACTGTCCTGCCTGCTCTCCACATGAATTTTCACACAGCTGCCACATCAGGCCTGGTGGTGCAGGCCCAGGGTACTAGCACACGGGAGGTGGACACATGAGGATTGCCATAAGCTGGAAGTGAGTCAGGGCTTATATGAGACTCTCAAAAACAACTTACAAAAACAACAAGCGTTCATGGCAAAGACTGTGGATGTAGCTCAGTGGTAGGACATTTGCCACACATATACAGACCTCAAGCGTGTCTAAATGTGTGTATGTGTGTGTGTGTGTGTGTGTGTGTGTGTGTGTGTGTGTGTGTGTGTTTAAATGACTTTGGCCTAAAACTCCTCTGAGGATGGTATCCAGGCTCTCAACTTGACCTCACAGGGGCTGGCTTCTTAGTGTTCCCATCTCCAGCGCTTGTCCGCAGTCCCACACAACAGGGAACATGCTCGCTCGTGTTCCTGAAAAGGCACTTGAAGCATGCCTTGGAGAATGCTGGCTTGTGGGGATGGGGAGACACGGAGGAAAGTGGGGGCACGGGGCAGGCTGACGGGTGGACGGCTCCTGAGAGGCAGGAGGGGAAAGACCTCTCGGTGAGGGAAGCCTGGCTAGCTCAGGATGGCAGGCCTGGACCCCTGGGAGAGGAGCTGGGCCCTCGACTTCAGTTTTAGTTACTTGAAGGGCATTTCAAACTTCCTGGGGCCTGGGGTGGGAAGGCCCAGCCTAGACGGTTGCATTTATTCTCTCAGGTTCACTGGAAATCCCCCCACTGAGGCTTGGGGAAGGTGACCCAGAACTTACTGATGGCCCCAGTGCCCTGGGGCAGTGCCAGTGGTCAGACTGCTTTGCCCAGAGGCACTGGGAGAGACTCAGCAGGAAGGACTCCTGTTCTGAAGGGGGGGTGCTGAGGCCTGGTTACCACCAACCCCCTCTGCTGGGAAGACATAGATGGCTCAGTCTCCCACCTGGCTAGGGTGAGCTGAGGCGGAGCTGCCCATTATGGTGGGAATAAACGGACCAGAGACTCCACCCTTAGAGTGCCCAGGACCCATAGAGCAACGGCTCCAAAACCCGTGTGGGACAAGACACACTGTGTCCATGTCGAGAGAGGTGGGCCGTGGGAGACCACCAGGGAGGAAGCGGTCAAGGCCTTGGGATCACATCACCCTCAACGAGCCTAGCAGGCCAGCCCACACGCTGGGCCACCAGAGCTACCAAGCTGTGCCCACATTGTGACTTCCCCTCTGCCAGCAGCAGCTGGGCTGGGCGGGCCCTGGACAGCTGGTGCCCTGGCAGATCTGAGTGCACTTGCCTGCTCGCCCCTGCTTAGTCCGTGCAGCAGTTTTTGATATCCGCTGTGCAGGTTGGGAACACTGGTCTGCTTAATGCTGTTTGCTCTCCACCATGGGCAGACAGGAAAAGAAATTAGAGCCCGGCCCTGCAGACCCAAGGAACAAGTCGGAGCTTGTCCGCGAGGTCTGATTACTCAAGGTTTTATTCTGAAATTGCCAAACTTGACTGACGAGTGCGGCACCCTCATGGATCCGGCACATTTGCGCCCCTTGCTCCCTGTCATGTGGTTCTGAGTCACTGGAAAGTGAAGTGTGTGAGGCTTCACACACAAGTAAGGTAATCTGTTTCCCACCTGGTGTCATGATGGCACTAAAAATCGTGGTTACTCGGTGATACCATCCACTGTGTCCTCCTAATTGCATTTTCCCAGTTGTCTTCCAAAAATATCTTCCACGCATTACACTTGGTTTTGTTTCTTTAGCTTTTAATCCAGACAATCCCCCTGCGCTGTGTGTGAGTGTGTGTGTGAGAGCGTGAGTGTGGTAAGACGTGGACTTTGAAGAGTCTGTGCAGACCAACTGTGTTAAAGAATGGGTTCTGGATTTGTAGGATTGACTACCTTCAAGTTGTTTACCATCAAAACTCCACCGTGGGAGCATTGGTTCTTTG